TCCGAATGTCTGTCTCAGGGACCGGAAAGCCATTCCTCTGAAGTATAATCAGGAAGAAGAGGTCTTTCATCTCCCTGTCTCTGGGAAAATGGATTCCTAACTTCCATAATTGCCAGCTAGCAGACACTGCTGGCCTAATCACATTTACAGTAACCAACCCTTTATAATTTTTAGCGTGAGGCCATGCTCTTCATTCTCCGTTTAAAATGCCCTGTTGCCTCTTCACAAATCAGAATGGAGCTCAGCTCTTTTGCCTACTGTCAGGGAATACTGAATAAGATCTGTTTTCACTGCTTCAACTACTATCCAGCTTTATCTTTGACATTTCTAATAAATGTAAAAAAAAAAAAAAAAACTCAAGGTAATTTTGTATATTTGTGTATTGACTAGATATTTGATAATATTAAATATTTATTGTTATTTTTTAAGCTGTGATAATGGTGCTGTGATTCTATTTTTCAAAATCATAATTAAAAAGGATTTATCTGGAATGTTATCACTTCTTACCACACTTTCAGCATTATCACTCTTGACCCACCCAGCATCCTCTCTTGTGGGACTTTTATGATTGCCTATTAAACAATCTGCCTGCCTCTACTATGCCACCCCCTACCCTCCTACCCTAGCCCCCAGCCACCAGTCTGTTCTCAACACACAGCCAGAGAGATCCCGGTAAAATGTGCCATATCATGCCACTTACCACCTCACTTAGAGTAAAAGCCAAGTCTTTTCAATCTACGAAGACCTCATGGATCCTCCTCGTGTGTCCTCTATGATCTCGTGTCCTACCTTCCTGGGTCACCCAACCCCAGCCTCACAGGCCTTTCTACTTTTGAAACAAAGCAGGCAGACTCCAGCTTTAGGGTCTTGGCATTATTTAACCCCTGCCTAGAGCCCACTTCCCCGGATCTCTTCATGTCTTGTTCCTTCACTCCTTCAGGTTTCTGAGACTACATAACCTGACCACACTACATTAGTGTGGAAATTAGTGAGGTCCCATCCCCCACGCTCCTAGTGCCCCTTTTCCTGCTCCCTTTTTTCCATAGCATCTATCATCACCCAACGTATTTTTTTACTTCCCTTTTTTCCCCTTAGAGCATAAGCTACGTGACAGTAGAGACTGTTTTGTTCATTTGTTTATTTTGTTTCCCCAGAACTTGAAATAGTTCCTTGCACATAATAGGTACCAAATGAATATTTGTTGAAAGAATGAAGGCTATTCTCATGTAGGTTGTAGGTGTGTGCTGAAGAATTGGTCCACATTTCTGAGCAATTGCAAAAAAAGGACTTTGCAAGTCTCCTCGCTTCAAGAATGTCCCTCAGGGGCGCCTGGGTGGCTCAGTGGGTTAAGCCACTGCCTTCGGTTCAGGTCATGATCTCACGGTCCTGGGATCGAGCCCCGCATCGGGCTCTCTGCTCAGCAGGGAGCCTGCTTCCTCCTCTCTCTCTGCCTGCCTCTCTGCCTACTTGTGATCTCTCTCTGTCAAATAAATAAATAAAAAATCTTTAAAAAAAAAAAAAAAAAAGAATGTCCCTCACTTTTCCGGAGAGAAGAAAGGATCTCATTGACCTTGTGGGCAGGGCTTTAGGCCAAGTCAGTGTACTGTTCTGGTGGCTTTCAATGCTGAGTGTGTAATTGGCATCAGTGTTTTCCATGAACGCACTGTGAATGCTCAGAAATGCCTGGAGGGATTAGATCAATCTGGAATTCTGCATCAGAGAAGTGCTAGTGTTTTGGGGACTCCATAACCTTATGACCCCTTTAAGCTAAATATCTCTCTGACTCATCATTTTCCTGATGGATCATTTACCAGGGAGGCGGCCACCACCAGGAGGCACCCCTTTTTGTGGCGGGGGGGGGGGGAATAGAAGGGGTTTGCCTCCCTCATGTGGCTAAGAGGTACAACTCTTTCGAAAAGCAGCTCTTAGTTTATGTGGGGTTCTTGTCAAAGCTGAACACCTGATGGGGCTAAAACACATACCTGTGACTGTTACCTTGTGGGGGGAGGGAGTAGGTTAACTCAGACTGAACAACGGATAATGTGGGAAAGGGCCTGAGAAGCCTCACTTGTCCGATGGAAATGGTATATTGAAGTCTACCGCTAAGGGGCCTCGGTGGCACTTTCAGCTTTACGTGAAGAAAAGGCAGCTCTCCCTTTGGGGGAAAGGTTATCCTCCACTCCACAGCTGAAGCAAAGCCACTTGCTTCATGGGGCTCCCAGTCCACACAGGTTCCCCTACATGCATGGGCCTGGTTCCCTGATGGTCTGGCTCTGCTGAAACCTGTCATGGCCGCCGGGCCGCTGTGGCTGGTCCGCATCGGTGCCCGCGATGTAGAGTGGAAAACAGATGTGCTCATGTGCTCGCTGCTCTCAGTGGGCGGAGCTCAGAGCCATCCTCACAGCTCCAGGGAGGATCGCTGAAGAAACTTGTTACGTTTTTACTGCCTCTTGGGCTGTTAACAATGGCCTAGCCATTCGATCTACTGCTCGGAAAACTACAGACTGGCAGGTTCTTCCCTCTTTGGGGTCACGAACCGTGGGACCAAATCATGGCTGCTGATGGAACTGTTTAGGTCACTCGGGCAGGTGCTCATGGTGAGGCTCCTTCCTCTGAGATCGACCCAATTCAAGCTGCAGATCGAGCTTGCCCTGCCCAGATAGCCCTGTTCACTGCCTGGACCCGTCATTAAAGAAGACACGCAGCACACCCACCAGCATAGACTGGGCACCGAGGAAAGACTCTGTATTTCAGATGCATCAGCCATGACGGCATACCAGGCCTGCAACTCATAATAAAAGTTGAACTATTTACCTCACGGAGAGGGAGACCATTGCACAGGGTGAGGCAGTTGAGTCCATCGAACGTTTGATCCCCTCCCAGGGCTGCTGGTGGAGGCTCACCCCGCTGACCATTTTTCGGGTTGCAATGTTGCTGCAGTGTTCAGTCCAATCAGCTGACTGTTGGCTAGCTTCTTGGAGCCCTTGAAACTGGTATTTGTTCTATTTCTGGGTTTTCAGACATTTGCGGTCTGACCACGATGCAGCTTTGATCACAGCGGGCTCTCAAGCTACTCGAGGTATCTCACGGACCTTCGGTACTATCCACCATCCACAGGAATCCGGGACTGTGGCACATTGGAATTGATTCTTCAAATTTCAACTCAAAACCGTTTCTGACCCGGCCTCCATCACTTCCTCCTGGTCAGAGCAAGTTAGTAAGGCAGTGTGGTCACTGAATTTGACTGTTTTAGAAAGCAATCATTTCTTCGTGGCCACTCCCTGGTACTAACCAGGGGAAAGGTGGGATGTTACACAGACGTATTTTGAGAATTTGAGATTCCCTGATGCATGTGGTGTTTCTTTCTCCTGAAGGCAACCCCAGCGGACCTGGCAGCTTCATCCTCTGGTGGCTGCCCAGCTGAAAGGAGGCCTAGGGCATTCAAGTTGAGTGCTGATGATCAAGTGTTTAAAATGTTGTTATAGGGGTGCCTGGGTGGCTCAGTGGGTTAAAGCCTCTGCTTTTGGCTCAGGTCATTATCCCAGAGTCCTGGGATCGAGTCCCACATCGGGTACTCTGCTCACTGGGGAGCCAGCTTCCTCCTCTCTCTCTCTCTGCCTGCCTCTCTGCCTACTTGTGATCTCTGTCTGTCAAATACATTAAAAAAAAAATCTTTAAAAATGTTATTATACAGTTTGTTAACATTCACACCATTAAGGAATATTGAGTGTGACAATCTGATTTTGAATTTTCCCCGCCAAGGACATTGTGTCCCAAACTAAACAATTCCGTGTGAGACCCACAGTTCCCAAACTGTATCATGCATGGCAGGGTTCTGCAGTAAGCCCATGGGCCACCAGAGAATATTCTAAATGTTCTAGGGAAGCACTGTGATCCTCAACATCTGTGGGAAACTGAACCACTGGTATAAAGTCGATCATGGTTCCAACATTGAATTATTATACTATTAGTAGGGTCGTGTCTTTGCAAAGTTGGGTTTCCTGCTGTTGCTGTGATAAAAGGCACTAACTGTGTGAGAGATTTTCAATCTGATGCCAAGGTTTAAGAACACATATAGTACCCAGCATGTCCCATTAGCAAGTAATTATGGTTGCTTAAAAATAGAATAAAAGTATTATTTTTCTTTCCATTTATATGTATTATTTTTTCAAATGGCTATAAAGCGGTGACAGAATAAATATGTATTAAGATATTTGGACCTGACAAATTAATAATGGGACTTTTAAGTGTTTCTTTTGTCCTGAGTTGCTGTGAAAGAAATTACTCAGACACTAGGAACACAACTGATTAAATTTTATAAAAATACCCTTCTCCCTCTTGTACCGGATCCTTCTGGACAAATGGTCTGGGTGTGGCAAATAGTAAGTTTATAGTTACTGGAGTGGCACACAGTGGGGGGAGAATGATGAATTAGGCACCAGGGAGGAACCACTTCAGTCCTGTGGAAGGCATGGGAGAGGGCAGGACATTAATGATCTTTGTCTTCCAGAACTGCCTCTAGAGCTTCCCCACAAAAGAAAAGCATCCTGCTTCTCTCCACCTGTTGCAAGCCCTTGACACTGAACTGACTGCTAAGTTGGCCTCCCATTCGATCACCATTCCCTTTAATCTTAGCTAGAGTCTATCAGAAAAAGCAGAATCCGCTCCTAGCGCTGCCCCTTCCACACAAAACACCCAATAGCACCTCTGGATCTCACCATCATTCCCTAGCCATTGATCAGTTATCCCATGATGGATGGATGGTGTTTTGTGTGGTGGATGGATGAATGCCACTTGGCTGGTGGTGTGGACAGATAGAGGAGGGTAAACTGACTGCCGCCTAGCAGTCCCTCTAGAAACAAGGGCTAGGTTTGATTCTTGGAACAACACTTAGAACCCTAAGGATTACAATCCTGCTGGCAGGCTACATTGGAGATATTATCAGCCTGAACCCCTGACTGAGGTAGGGTCCTACTTGGGGGACCCAGCAGTTGGAAATCATGCTCTTTTTTTCTAGGAGCACTGTGAACACCTTTGGTTCATGGAAGCTAGGCGTTAACTTGCCTGCCTCCCCAGATCATGGTGACTTGCACTTAATGGTGAGTAATAAGAGACCGTAAGAACACTACCAGTAGGTCCTGTGGCTCTCAGACAACAGCAGAGATCTCTTCAAAATGAGGATGTCCTTTATTACTTGGAGATAACCAGCTTGTTACTCATGTGCATGCTGTAGGCAGTTATCTTCATGATAGGAGTTGTCCTATTAGAAAAAGTACTGTGAAATTTGTCCCTGAATTTAGCTGAAGTGATCAATGACACCACCTTGCCTCTGGAAGATATTCAGATAAGAACCCTTTCTTTCCAGTTCTTGACAAAATTTCTTTCAGAATAGCACCTGCTACATAATAAACTCTATATGGGTATTTGTTAAACAGCAAACACATAAACAAAACCAATAAAGCCTGTGATCTGTGTTATCCAAGTCTTCCCTAACCTTACTGTTTTTTTGGATTGCTTGATCAATCAATTACTGGGAGATGTATGTTGTCAACTTCCAGTTTGTCGGTGGGTTTTTTTTTTTTATTCATCAGTTTTTGTTTTATGTATTTTGATGCTGTGTTATTAGGTGCATATAACTTCAGAATGGTTAAAACTCCTTGAATCCTCCATCATTATTCATTGACCCACTTGTTCCCTAGTAATACTTTCACTTTAAAGTTATTTTAGCTGAAATTGATACAGCAGCACAAGATTCCTTTTTCTTTTCTTTTTTTAACATTTGACTTCCAACCTTTCTCTATTATTATGTTTTGTGTCTATCTCTATTTAATTAAATGTCATATTATTGGATTTTTAAAAAAGATTTTATTTATTTATTTGACAGACAGAGATCTCAAGTAGGCAGAGAGGCAGACAGAGAGAGAGGAAGGAAAGCAGGCTCCCCACTGAGCAGAGAGCCCGATGCAGGGCTTGATCCCAGGACCCTGAGATCATGACCTGAGCCAAAGGCAAAGGCTTTAACCCACTGAGCCAGCCAGGTGCCCCCTGGATTTTGTTTTTTAAATCTAGCCTGATAAGCCTTGCCTTTTACTTGGAAAGTTCAGTCTATTTATATTTATCATTATTACTAATACTGTTCAATTTATTTCTACCACTTAATTGGTACTTTCTCTTTGTCCAGATTTTTCTGTGATTTATTGCTCCTCTTTCTTGCCTTTTTGTTTGGATTAATTGAATTTTTTCTCATTTTTTCTTACTGATTGGAAATATATGCATTTTATTTCCTTAAATGCTTCTTAAAACAGGTGGAGAGAAGCAGTCTTAAAATAGGACTACCACATGATCCATATGATCTGCAACTTCATATGCGTGCATATATATTATTCAGCCATAAAAAAGAAGGAAGTCCTGCCATTTGTGACAACATGCGTGGAACTAGAGGGTATTATGCTAAGTGAACTAAGTCAGACAGAGGAAGATAAATACCATATGATCTCACTTACGTGTGTAATCTAAAAAACAAGCAAGGGATGCCTGTATGGCTCAGTCGGTTACATGTCTACCTTTGGCTCAGGTCATGATACCAGAGTCCTGGGATCAAATCCCACATCAGGCTCCCTGCTCAGAGGCAAGTCTGTTTCTCCCTCTCCCTCTGTCTGTTGCTCCTCCTGCTTGTGCCCGAGCAGACTCTCTCTCTCTCAAATAAATAAATAAAATCTTTAAAAAAAAATGGGCTAGATATAGAGAACAGACTGGTGATTGCCAGAGATGGGGAAGGGGATGGTGGTTGGGAGAAATGGATGAAGAGTGTCAAAATATACAAACTTCCAATTATCAAATAAATAAGTCATGGGATTTAATGTACAGAGTGCTGATTACAGTTAATAATACTGTATTGTGTATTTGAAAGTTGCTGAGAAAGTAAATAAGTTCTCATCACAAGAAGAATTGTTTTTTGTGATTGTATACGGTGAGAAGTGTTGAATAGACATATTGTGTGATCATTTCACAGTGTATACAAATATCAAATCATTATGTTGTACGCCCAAAACTAACATAAAGTTTTATTTCGATTATACCTTCGTTTTTAATTAAAATTTTAAATTTATGTTAATTAAGCTTCAATGAAAATTATTATTATATCTTTTTTTTTTTAAAGATTTTATTTATTTATTTATTTGACAGACAGAGATCACAAGTAGGTAGAGAGGCAGGCAGAGAGAGAGAGAGGAGGAAGCAGGCTCCCGGCAGAGCAGAGAGCCCGATGTGGGGCTCGATCCCAGGACCCTGGGATCATGACCTGAGCGGAAGGCAGAGGCTTTAATCCACTGAGCCACCCAGGCGCCCCTATTATATCTTTTTAAAGGGGAAAGAACATGAGCTGGGGTGGGGGGCACAGAGGGAGAGAGAGAGAGAGAGAGAAAGAATTTTTTTTTTTAAAATATTTTATTTATTTATTTGACAGAGATCACAAGTAGGCAGAGAGAGAGAGAGGAGGAAGCAGGCTCCCCACCAAGCAGAGAGCCTGATGCGGAACTCGATCCCAGGACCCTGAGATCATGACCTGAGCTGAAGGCAGAGGCCTAACCCACTGAGCCACCCAGGCACCCTGAGAGAGAGAGAGAATCTTAAGTAGGCTCCATGCAGGGCTCAATCTCATGACCCTGACGTCATGACCTGAGCCAAAATCAACAGACAGATGCTTAACTTACTGAGCCACCCAGGCACCTCCAATAAAAATTATGATTTTTTAAAGGATTTATTTACTTTTTTGAGAGAGAGAGCACAGAGGGAGAGGGAGAGGGAGCGAATCTTTAGCAGACTCCCCACTGAACATGGTGCCCCACACAGGGCTTGATCTCATGACCCAGAGCCGAAATCAAGAGTCAGGCACTTAACTGACCAAGCCACCCAGCCACCCCCCATAAAAATTATTTTTAAAAATTTTAATATGCATACTTACAGAGTGTAGAGTTAATTATTTTTACCCTCCTCCAGAACTTTATAATGCTTTAATTCAAATTAACATCCTCTTTACTTATATGTAATTTTTCTTTAAAAAAAAAAAAGATTTATTTATTTATTTGAGACAGAGAGAGAGCAGAGGGTGGACAGAGGAGGAAGCAGGCTCCCCACTGAGCAAGGAGCCCGATGCAGGGCTTGATCCCAGAACCCTGGGATCATGACCAAAGCCAAAGGCAGACACTTAAGCAACTGAGTCACCAGGCATCCCTATATGTTTTTTTTCTTCACCCTCGAAATCTGTTTTGTTTTTTTTTTTAAGTTCACTGTATTGAATACTTCTATGCCTCATTACAGATCCTCTCAGCCTTACCTCTCTTTATATAGCCGCTCTGTGGTAAACATCTCTGTGGGCACTTACCAGGTCTACACAGATAGAATCTGAAAATGCCTAGCCTCAGGCTTGCTCTGTGCATCTCCTGCCTTCTATACTGAGGCATCTATGTTGACGCCAAGGCATAGAAGAGCACTGGGACACCATGGTGCACCTAGAAAATATAAGGGGTTAACACTCTTTGAGGTGAGCCTTTGACCAAGGAAGAGGAGAGAATCAATGGATACATGCATCCCAAGTACTCTTCGCGGGAACATCCCCCAGGATGAGTAGTCTTGATATGTACATCATATGGTTTCTCAAATGGTCCTGAGTGATGGAAGAACCAGAACTTTGTAGCAGTGGCCAAATTAATCATGTATCCTTGATTGAGCGCTCCTGCCTTCCATCATTTCTCCATCCCTTACTCTTGTTCCCTGGGATCACACACAGACCAATAAAATCCTGGCACTGAAACTTTTATCTTGGGTTCTGTCTTCAGAGGAGTTCCTGCTAGGTTTCCCACCTATTAGACATTATTATTACTACTTTAAAAAAAATTATTTATTTATTTGAGAGAGAGAGAGAGAGAGCACGAGCACGAACGGGATGAGAGGCAGAGGGAGAAGCAGACTCCCCACTGAGCAGGGAACAGAGCTGGATCCTAGGACTCTGGGATCATGACCTGAGCTGAAAGCATCCGCTTAACCAACTGAGTCACCCAAGTGCCCCTATTATTATTATTTTATTCAGCCAACTACTTTATGACTCCTTTTCTCAGATTTTTCATTTTTCTTCATTTTAGTGTTTAGAAATTATTTAGTTGCTGGAGGTCAATCTCTCTTTTGTGTTTCTCTCAAAAATTTTTATTTTACTCTTGTTCTGGAAAGAAAATTTCACTAGATAATGCAATTTCTCTGTTGACAGCAATGTGTTGTTGTTTTTTCCTTAACCTTTCAGGCCTGTGGATATATCATACCACTGTCTTCAAGGCTTCTTGTATTGAGCCAATTTTCTTTCATTTGTAGGGAATGTGTTTTTTCTTAGATCTTATCTTTGGCTTTGATATTGTGCAGTGCAACTGTGATGCTAAGTGTAGATTTCTTTTTACTTTTCTGTTTGAGATTCCTTGGGCTTCTGATTCCAGAGATTTGTATCCTTCATCAATTCTGAAGAATTCTCAGCCATTAACTCTTTTAAATGTATCTTTCCTCTTTTCTCTATATTTCCTCCTGCTCAAAGTCTGTTGGATCTTTTGTTCTAACTTTGTTCTCCATGTGTCTCAACCTCTCATATTTTCCATCAGTGCTACATTCTGGGTAATTCTTTCAGATTACCCTAGTGATTCATTATGGGCCCCCCTCAGCCATGTCTGCTCTCTTGTGTCATATTCTCCCCTAGGTGTTTCATTTCAATTTTTATATTCTTCATTTTTAGAAGCTCTATTTTGGTTCTTTTCAAGTCTGCCTAGTTAATTTTGATAGACTTTGCTCTTTCCTCGTGATTTTAATTGTCATTTTTTACTTCTTAAAACATAGATTTATTTATAGTGTCCAGTGATCCTTGTTTTGAGATATTTGTGGGTCCGATTCTATTCACTGCAGTTTCTGCTTGTTTCCTAATGTGTGTATTTAAAACAGCTTTATTATGGTATACATTACATATCATAAAATTGACCCTATTCGAGTGTACAATTCAAGAATTTTTGGTAAATTTTTTGAGTGGTACAGACATCACCATAAATCAATTTTAGAACATTTTCAT